TTATACATAGAGAATCGACATTAAAATGAATAATTAAGTACAATTATTCCCTCTTAAATGTGTCCGTTTTGATTCTTTGACTTTAATGCTCAGTGTTTGAATTTGAGTTGACTCTGATCTTCATGGGTCTCGCCTTTTGGCCCAAGTGTCCTTGAACCGACTTACCCGTGTCTTCTACACCGAACTCATGTCGAAGAGCAGTCACTTCGGATTCTCGAAGTGGTGATAACCACTTCGACCGTTCCTTCGGCTCACGGGTCCAATGGGCTTTATCCTTTATGGGCCATTATCTTGACTACGTGGCAATCTTTGGTTGGTCTCGGACTTTTGGTGCGGGATCTGATCCATGGCAAATAAAGGAAACGCTCATTAAAGCATTGTAGTGGTGTGGTTGGTTGCCATGGATCAGTACCCATGGCAACCAACCACACCACTACAATCTCATTTGCTAACAATAAATTCAGATCCCAAACTAACAGTGGCGCATCTTATAAATAAAACCACTCACCAATGGGATGAGAATGAAATATTGCGGCTAATTCAACGAGCAGACCATCATCTCATACATAAGCTATACCTTCCTCATTGGCCTACATCTGATTCATATCTATGGATCTCGACTCAAGATGGTAACTATTCTGTAAAACCTGGCTATTGGACTGCTGTCAACCTCAACTTAGATGATGACGCACCAACACCTCCTTTGGAAAACTATTTGGATATTGCTATGAGCATTTGGAAATTGGGTATCACACCGAAGTTAAAACATTTCATATGAGGGATGGTCTCAAGAGCGATAGGAACCGCAGATAATCTGTGGCGACGTAATAAAAATGTGAACCCCTACTGTTCCAGATGTTGTACGGAGTTGAAGACAAGTGATCATATATTATTCTAATGTCCACATGTTGTTGCTGTATGGAGAGCAGCGGGGATCCCCATCAACCAAATCTGTGATCCAGTTAAACCAATGGAAGATAAGTTAAGATATATTTTTCAGATGCATAATGAACTAGGTATCAACATAACTACACGTTTCCTTCCTTTTTGGTTGATGTGGAGGATATTGAAAAGAAGAAACGATCTGGTCTTTAATCGTAAAGCCATTGCACCTATCAAACCGTCAACCAAGCTGTCACAGACACAAACGAATGGCTAGATAATGTTTTTGGAACAGAGCTTACATCCAGGCCTACACAACATTCAGCGACTTGTCGTACAAAATGGAACAAACCACCAAGAGGGCTGATGAAATGTAATTATCATGTCTCCCGCCATGAAGGAGACCAAGTATCGGGGCTTGGATGGATCATTCGGAACTCAAAGTCTGGAATGGGCAATATCAAAGTCGAATGACAACGGAGGAAGTAGAATGTACGGCTCTAATTTGGGCTCTACAGTCTACCTGGGCTCTAGGCTATAGAATGATGGAGTTTGAGGGAGACAACTACAATGTAAACCGACTCATCAATGACACGAATCAAACCCTCGACTTCAACACTATCTTGCTACAATTTGGGCTTGGAGACAAATGTTCACCTATGCAACTTTCAACTCCAGGCATCGAGAGTAAAACTCATGAGCTGATCTTTTAGCAAAAGAATCAATTTGTTGTAATAATAATTGGTCCATGTTTCACAGCTGCCCCCGGTTTCTTGAAAGCTATGTAAACAATGATATTAATCACTAAACTTAATAAAGCTTTTGGAAGGCAAACTATATATCTAAGATAAAATTAATATATTTTTAGATTATTAAAAAAACTCATATATTTAAAGATTATATAGTAATGGTGTTTTGTTTCGTGATATATTTTGACACATATTAGAATTATAGTTAGAATATTATTTAAGTTATTAAATCTTCAGTTTAATTGGTCTAAATGTGTAATTATGATTGAAACGTTTTATTTTGTAATTATAATATAAACACACAATATATATATATATATATATATATATATATATGTACAATAAATCTTATATAAATATAGTTATTTAATTTTTTTAACGGGTATCTTTATTAAGAATTTAATTGATCATGATACAAGAGGATCCATACAATCCGAAAAGACATTTGAAAGACTACAACCTTGTTTCGCCAACATATGAGCGACGATATTACACGAACGGTTTGTATGAAGAAAGGAGATCTCTCCCAAAACGCAGTGCCCGTTGTTGAATCTCTTGGCATAAACCAGTGATTTAAACATCCGTAGAAAGGCCATTAACAAAAATCCCCAAAAAAACCTCAAAGAGATGCTAGTAGATGGCTCAACAACATAATATCATATGAATAACAAACATCCATAATGAATACATCTCTTAATGCGACAACGAACAAGTGAGAGGAGCCACCATAGAGGAAGGGCAAAGATTCAAATTTTAAACCCAAAACAGAGCCACATCTGGGCTAATGAGACATAAAGTTCCTATTAGAACTCCATCAAACCTCTAACTACAACAAAAACCTACAACTAGCAAATCTTATCCTATGCACCACACACCGACGAGAGATGACATGAGTCTGAGACCATATTCGTGTTCACAGCTATCACACCCATCTCTTGAATTGCCTACTGAACCGAGACCAACTTCTGAACCAAATCTGGAAGTTAAACCGATCTCTGCTCAGCTTCATCAACATCATCCCGACAATCGCAATACAACCCAAAAAAAAAAAGAAAAAAAATCTAAAGACAAAGAATAAGACCTCACCATGCAGTGGTCCTAAAAAATCCAGCGTACATCGGTCACAAACAAAAAATCCAATGATCGAAGAAGATGAGAGAGAACAAGAGAGGGAAAAGAGGATCAATTATGCTCGTACATTCTGCAACTTTTCTCTCAATTGGAGAAAAATGAGAAAAAGATTAATCCTTCAACGTGGACAAAAAAAAAAAAAGAGTGTCACCCCAAAAAAGGTATATCGCATGAGGAAAAAAGAGAGAGAGAATGACATAAGCCACATGTCTTTTTATGATTTTCTGTTTGGATTTTCAGATTTTTGTTTCATCTTAAATCTTTGATCTTAATTTTTTTTTCTCACAAGAAACTATGCCAAAATTAATAATTTTTTGTAATATATAAATAGAGACTTGTTTCATTTAATTTAGACACACAAAACATTTTTTATTACTATAGTTGTCATATTATCTTTCCATAAACTCTTCCTTTTAAAGGTTTGGTCATAGGTTTAGCAACATGGAACCAACAATTATTTTTAAAACCTCTGGTTTTTTCTAAAGTTTTTTTTAATTTATTATCTCTAATTCTTGTCTTTATTACTTGAAAAATAATAAATTTCTAAAAAAAATAAAAATAAAAGATCATTAAAATTATTTGAATCATAATTATATTAATTTAATTTTGATCGCAATTAAAATGTAATCACAAAATCAAACAAAAACATACAAAAAAATAAAAATTTGAAATAAACATGGCGGGAAGAGTGTTGAATTTTATTAAACAAAATCATTGTAGAAATTAAGCAGATGTTGAATTATGATGAAGAATTGTTAGAAATGCGTTCTTTTAATTATCCTTTTTAAAAACAGCCTCATTCTCTAGCTATTTTCCAATTTGCCTTCTATTAGTTTTTTAATGACCATTTTATATTTATTTGAAGAATAGTGAATAGAAAAAATCATTGCTAGTGCTCATTTATATCTAGTAAAACATTAGAAATACTATTTAAAAACTTTATAAACACCTTGTAAAACCGTTTGCATATTATTAGACAGAAAAATGTGGATAGAAAAAATTATTGCTAGCGCTCATTTACTTTATATGCGTCATAGTGGACTGACCTAGTGAGCTGAAAAGTTTCTGTCTTTCTTGAGAAATTACTGAAAGAAGATTCGGTTTTACCTCATCTAAGAAATGACGAAGCTGTCGAGTAAAGAATCAGTCGAGTTATGTACTTAGGATTCATTTGACAAAATTGACAAAAAAGAATGTGATCTGAGTGATAAAACTAAATAGTGCACGTATGATAAACGAGGATTCCTGTCAGCTTTGAGTTATTGAGTAAGGAGTGACGGACCTTTGGAGACCAAAGTATAGTAGGAGAGTACTATATAGAGTGCATTCTATTATTGCCGCAAAAAAGAAAAAAAGCTTCAAGAGAAAGAATATATGAACAGATGTTCATCCTTGAAAAATCAGGTTACATATTATTAGAAAAAAAGAAAAATGGATAGAAAAAGTTATTGCAAGTGCTCATTTACTTTATATGCGTCATAGAGGACATACATGGTGAGCTGAAAGGTTTCCGTCTTTCTTGAAAAATTACAGAGAAATAGATTTAGTTTTATCTCATCTAAGAAATGACGAATCTGTCAAGTAAGGAATCGGTCAAGTTATGTACCTGAGATTCTTTTAAAAAAATTGACAAAAAAGAATGTGATCTGAGTGATAAAACTAAATTGTACACATACGATAAACGAGAATTCCGTTCAACTTTGAACTATCGAGTAAGGAGTGAATGATCTTTGGAGACCAGAGTAAAGTAGGGGAGTACTATATAGAGTGCGTTATATTATTATTGCAACAAAAAAGAAAAAAACTTTCATGAGAAAGAATATATGAATAAAATATTCACTCTTGAAAAATCAGGTTGCATACTATTAGAAAAAAATAAACTAGATAAAAACAGTTATTGCTAGTGCTCATTTACTTTATATGTGTCATAGTGGATAGACATGGTGAGATGAAAAGTTTCCGTCTTTCTTGAGAAATTACAGAGAAATAGATTCGGTTTTATCTCATCTAAGAAATGACGAAACAGTCGGGTAGGGAATCAATTGAGTTATGTACCTAGGATTCATTAAAAAAAATTGACAAATAAGAATGTGATATGAGTAATAAAACTAAATAGTGCACGTACGATAAACGAGGATTTACGGTCAGCTTTGTGCTATCGAGTAAGGAGTGAAGGGCCTTTGATGATCCGAGTAAAGTAGTGTAGTCCTATATAGAGTGATAGAAAAAGTTATTGCTAGTGCTCATTTACTTTATATGCGTCATAGTGGACTGACATGGTGAGCTGAAAAGTTTCCGTCTTTTTTGAGAAATTGCAGAGAGCTAGATTACCTCATCTAAGAAATGACGAAGCTTTCGAGTAAGGAATCGGTAGATTTATGTACCTGAGATTCATTAAAAAAAAATGTGATCTGAGTGATAACACTAAATAGTGCACGTACGATAAACGAGTATTCCGGTCAGCTTTGAGCTATTGAGTAAGGAGTGACGGACCTTTGGAGACCAAAGTATAGTAGGAGAGTACTATATAGAGTGCGTTCTATTATTGTCACAAAAAAAAGAAAAAATGTTTCAAGAGAAATAATATATGAACAAATGTTCATCTTTGGAAAATCAGGTTACATATTATTAGAAAAACTAAAAATGGATAGAAAAAGTTATTGCAAGTGCTCATTTACTTTATATGTGTCATAGAGGACATACATGGTGAGCTGAAAGGTTTCCGTCTTTCTTGAAAAATTACAGATAACTAGATTCAGTTTTATCTCATCTAAGAAATGACGAATCTGTCGAGTATGGAATCAGTCGAATTATATACCTGGGATTCATTAAAAAAATTGACAAAAAAGAATGTGATATGAGTAATAAAACTAATTAGTGCACGTACGATAAACGAGGATTCCGGTCAGCTTTGAGCTATCAAGTAAGGAGTGAAGGGCCTTTGATGATCCGAGTAAAGTAGGGGAGTCCTATATAGAGTGTAAAGAAAAAGTTATTGCTAGTGCTCTTTTGCTTTATATGCGTCAGATTGGACTGACATGGTGAGCTGAAAAGTTTCCATCTTTCTTGAGAAATTACATAGAGCTAGACTTGGTTTTACCTCATCTAAGAAATGACGAAGCTGTCGAGTAAGGAATCGGTCAAGTTATGTACCTGGGATTCTTTTAAAAAAATTGACAAAAAAGAATGTGTTATGAGTGATAAAACTAAATAGTACACATACGATAAACAAGAATTCCGTTCAACTTTGAACTATCGAGTAAGGAGTGAATGATCTTTGGAGACCAGAATAAAGTAGGGGAGTACTATATAGAGTGCGTTCTGTTATTACAACAAAAAAGAAAAAAATTTCATGAGAAATAATATATAAATAAAATGTTCACTCTTGAATAATAAGGTTGCATATTATTAGAAAAAAATAAAGTGGATAGAAACAGTTATTGCTAGTGCTCATTTACTTTATATGTGTCATAGTGGATAGACATGGTAAGCTGAAAAGTTTCCGTCTCTCTTGAGAAACTAGGATTTGACCCACGGTACACCGCGGGGTAATTATTTATTTAAAAAATTTATTTTTGGTTTTTTATCAATGTAATTTATGTTTAGTATTGTTGTTTTTTTTTTCTTGTTACAAAATAATTATGGTCAGTTGTGTGTAGAATTAAATATCCCGTAATTAAGCTAAGGATAGTATTGATGAGTTGTCGGATGTATATCATTTGTAAGTTTACAATGTGTTTATTTTTGTAAGCATTTAATTTGTGCGATGGTAAAAAGAATCTTTACAATTTTAAAACTCTAATTATGCATTATACTAATGAAACTGTAATAATCAAAAGGTTGATACGTATTATCATGACCAAAGTATTTTATAAGTACAATGTATTTTTGTAACGATACACATAATTCTGGATAGTTAATCAAAAACAAAGGCCACAACATTTTATTCATGTGCTATAAACAGACTGTTACTGGAGCCCAATTCTAAAACCTAAGCCTATACAACATTAGCAGCCCAACTACAGTATAACAGTTTTTGCTGGGAATGGAGAAAAAAAACGGACGATTCAATCAATCCGATGTTGGTTCTCTTTCACGAACTTATCTCACTGGAATCCGTCACTTTCCGACCTCCGGTGACGTCTACACTTGTCGATAGATGATGATTAGCCGTCTGAAATCGCAAATCCATGATGATAGCTTCTGAGATTGAACGGAACTAAATCTGCTGTACTGGAAAGAAACAATGTGTAAGTGATAGGTCTCAATTTATTTTACAACTGCTTTGATATAGAACTGTTATCTCCTTAATAAATATTTTGTAGCTGTAGATTATTGGTTGAATTTGAAATTTCTCAATAAATATTAGGAATCCGATTGTTACATATAGATTTAGTACATATAGCTTTGTTTCAGCTTTGGATTTACTAAAGTATCTTATTTGTTACTGTTTTGGATTGTACATATAGATTCTTTTAAACAGAGCTCTGACCTAAATATTTATCTTCACAGGCAAGACCAGCAAACAAAATAAGATAAGGGACTTTAACTCATCGACAGGAGGACCTCCGGTCAAATAATACATTCAACTGTAATAGGTGGAACTGTAATTTCCAACATTAAGTACTTTTTTGATATCAAAACATAGGGGACATCAGATGAAATGAAATAGTTATATATCATATTATCACTGCAGGCTTGATAACGGAGCTGAATTCAAGAAATGGAGGTGCTAAAGGAGATGATGTGTGGAACTGAAAGGTTAATTCTTGTAGATTGGAATATTATCAAAACTAATTCAGTAGGGAAAAATATCTGAATGCTGATACTTATTGTATGATGAAATTATAAAAATGTTTACATAGATGAACTGGAAATTGAAAACATTAGCTATTCCACGTGACCTTTTCCCAACTTGTTTGTTTCTGTTAATGGGAAGAATACTGTTAGTTTACTTTGGCATGTCTGTGTATTTTGTGGGTTTTGCAAACCATAAAGCAAAATATTAAGTAAGAGAAAGTAAAAGGAAACATACCTATTTATTTGGATGAAAGAGAAATCACTGAAAACCATTATCAGTTGATATTCTAGAAAACTTCTTTAAAAACAACATTTGTTGTTTGTTTTTTAATCTTCCCTTCTTTATCTAGAATAAGAATTTTCAAACCTTTCTTAGAAGTGACCCTTGATAGAGCAACATAGAGTTGCCCATGAGAAAAAACTGGCTTCGGTAAATAGAGACCAACTCTCTCAAGAGATTGGCCCTGACTCTTGTTGATGGTCATAGCGGATGCTACTGACACTGGGAACTGTCTCCTACGCATCCGGAAGGGCAGCATTGTATCTGATGGTGTAATATTGATTAAGGGAATCAACACAATGTCTCCATGTCTGTCCCCAGTTATAACTTTTGCTTGTAGAACTTGTTTAGTCATTTGAGTAATCTGAAGTCTTGTCCATTGCACAAACCGCCTTTAGGATCAATATTTCTAAGTAGCATAACCGGAGCGTCAATTTTCAACCGTAATTCATGGTGTGGCAAACCTGATAGCTTGATACTGTTTAAGAAATCTGGCGTGATAATTGGATTTTTCAGTGAGTGAGAATCTGAAGGATCTATGCTATCAGCACTGAGAAATATTCTTTCGTCACCTACAAGTTTAAAACATAAAATTATAATATCATAAAACTATAGGCTAACATATGACTGACCTTCCAACTTCTCTAGCATATACTGATTGATTGTGTTCACATCATCATTGGTAGGTGATAAAATGGCTCTCTTTTGAAAGAATGTTGGATCTTCATTATCTTTTAACATTGCTGGATCTCCATAGATCTCATGACTAATTGCTTCAATTAGATTTCCCGCTTCTGTAATCAAGAGTTCTTCAGGAATATCAATGAGGGCTTCTCCGTCATTTGGCTCAGCTATTCTGCCATCACCAACAGCTAGAAGCCAATCTGAGAATTCTCTAATGTCTTTAGCTTCTTCTTCACTTAAGTCATTGCTTAGCAGTCGCATGTTTTTAGTTAGCTTCAGAACCTTACAATGATCCCAAATATAAGAAGCGTTTAGAGCTGCCAAGACAATTTTTGCCCTCCCTGCATTGGAAATCACGGGATGAACTTGTCTAAAATCACCTCCAAAGACAACAACCTTCTCACCAGATACCTTGTTATCCTTGTTACCAATAATATCAGAGAAACTCTTATCTAGTGATTCAAAACACCATTTGCTCATCATAGGTGCTTCATCCCATAGATTTTACATACAACCCTCACCTTTCCAATCTAACATTAAAATTCCTTTGCATCAGTTAACAAAACTTCATAGATTTAATTAATATGTAACTTAACTACTCAAACCTCCATTGAGTTCTGTAAATCCCGGATTGTCTTCCTCTCATATTGTAAACAGTCATTCTGTTTCACAGTTACAATTTGAAACTTTGGAACACTCTCACGGAAGGTGAGTGAAAGACCATCAGAAGGCAAACTGTTGCATAACATAGTATAGAAATAAATATTTTGATTCTAAGAACAGATGTATATATAAAAACTACATAACCAAAAATGATAAAAAAAACAAAGAAAACAGATCGATTGACAAATGTTTGAACTTCAGGGAAAGGTGGATTGATGTGAACTTGAGATGCATCAAAAGAGTTAGACAAACTTCGTACTCCTACATACACGAATAAATAGCACAATTAGTTAAGTAAAGTACTTTAATAATATGTGAGTTACATCAAGAAAGTGAAGAATAGACCAATACCTTTGAAAGACTTAATCTTTGCAAATCTTAGTACACAGATAACCATTCTTCCATCAGCAGATTCACATGCATTAAAAACATTCTGAGCGAATGTTCCCCACAAAGTACAGGACATTCTCTCATCACTACAACAAAGACTATATAAGTTTTTTCAAAACAATAAGTATAAAAGGGCTAAACTTTAGAGAATTCATATATGATAAACTTACGTGTCATCCCTTAATTCAAAGTTAATCTTAGTTGTAGGTTTGTTATTAGCCTCTAGAGTCTCAAGTTCACCGATATTAACCACTTGACCCATAACATCTACAGAGACAATAAGACAATGATAAGCAATCATATATACTAAACGATAATGAAGATCTTTAATGAATATAACTGTGCTCAAACAAATAAGAAATTGGCAGACATACCAACCAAGATGTGAGGATTTAATTCACCAGTCTGAATATCAGAGAATCTGGCTAATGAAAGGTAGCTAGAGTCACTAACAGGATCACATCGGATGACCTGTGTCCCAGTAACAAAGGACATCTTATATAGATGACCAGTAGGGCGGAATTGACCTGATGCATGGTTAAGAGCAAAGGTTTGTATAAACCTCCACTCATTGACTGGCAAGTTGTCCACATACTTGCTCACCAAGTCCTTCTTAACTGATGCATGAATCTTAACACCCTATGACAAACGAAAACGACATAATTAGAATGATCATCTAGTTAACATTTTGAATTCATTATGATCAAGTAAAGTTACCTGTGAGTCTGCCAACACTAACTCGAGGGTTTCACCAGTCATGCTAGTGTACTAACGCCACGAGTGAAGCACCTTCACTTGGACACGCCATGAAGTCTTGTAAGGTCGAATATCTCTCAATAAAGCAAAGGAGGCAGCCATTTGTATTGGTAAGCAAGTTTTAATTTTTCTAAACAGAGCGAGATATGACAGACTGACATGTGGAGAAATGGAATGGAATTTAGGCTGTATTTATAGTGGTATGAGATTGTATAGGGTTTTAGAATATGGAGTAGGCGAAATCTTGAGGATCAAGTTGTGAATATTCTCTGGGAATATAGGTAACTGGATATGCGGCTAGAAATTTATCACAATAATGAAGTTGGTTGCAGTTGATGTATAGATATTGCCATATACTGTTGGTTTTTTTAAAACTGATTAGATACGGTGAAGAATGATTTGGAAACCAAATTGATTCCTGATATAAAGTTTAGCTACATTATAGTTAATTGAATAGAGACGGAATATATTATGCGAATGAAACAGCTTGAAAATTATGAAGTTACAATATTAACAGTTTGATTCACTTATTTGAAAGCTATATTTTTGGGAAGTTATAATATTTACAGCTTGATTGACTCGAGATTCTTGCATTGATTCATGCAGACGGTTTTATTATAGGTGTGTGAGATTTTAATGAATCCGCAAGATAGCAAATGGGCCAGATATTGGGGAAATACAGGGAAAGGGCCTAATATCCGGGTTAAAAACCGGGTCAAAAACTTAAACAAAAACCGACCCGATTGATTCCTTAAATTGTACTTCAAAAATGTTAAGTAGATTACAGAGAAATAGAATCGGTTTTATCTCATCTAAGAAATGACGAAACAGTCGGGTAAGGAATCGGTTAAGTTATGTACCTAGGATTCATTAAAAAAAATGACAAATAAGAATGTGATATGAATAATAAAACTAAATAGTGCTCGTACGATAAACGAGGATTCCGGTCAGCTTTGAGCTATCGAGTAAGGAGTGAAGGGCCTTTGATGATCCGAGTAAAGTAGGGTAGTCCTATATAGAGTGGATAGAAAAAGTTATTGCTAGTGCTCATTTACTTTATATGCGTCATAGTGACTGACATGGTGAGCTGAAAAGTTTCCGCCTTTTTTGAGAATTACAGAGAGCTAGATTCGGTTTTACCTCATCTAAGAAATGACAAAGCTTTCGAGTAAGGAATCGGTAGAGTTATGTACCTAAGATTCATTAAAAAAAATGTGATCTGAGTGATAATACTAAATAGTGCACGTACGATAAACGAGTATTCCGGTCAGCTTTAAGCTATCGAGTAAGGAGTGACGGACCTTTGGAGACCAAAGTATAGTAGAAGAGTACTATATAGAGTGCATTCTATTGTTGCCACAAAAAAGAAAAAAAAGTTTCAAAAGAAAGAATATATGAACAAATGTTCATCCTTGAAAAATCAGGTTACATATTATTAGGAAAAAAAAATGGATAGAAAAAGTTATTGCAAGTGCTTATTTACTTTATATGCGTCATAGAGGACAGACATGGTGAGCTAAAAGGTTTCCGTCTTCTTGAAAAATTACAGAGAACTAGATTCAGTTTTATCTCATATAAGAAATGACGAATCTGTCGAGTAAAGAATAAGTCGAATTATATACCTGGGAGTCATTAAAAAAAATTGACAAATAAGAATGTGATCTGAGTAATAAAACTAAATTGTGCACGTACGATAAACGAGGATTCCGGTCAGCTTTAAGCTATCAAGTAAGTAGTGAAGGGCCTTTGATGATCCGAGTAAACTAGGGGAGTCCTATATAGAGTGTATAGAAAAAGTTATTGCTAGTGCTCATTTACTTTATATGCATCATATTGGACTGACATGGTGAGCTAAAAAGTTTCCATCTTTCTTGAGAAATTACATAGAGCTAGACTTGGTTTTACCTCATCTAAGAAATGACGAAGCTGTCGAGTAAGGAATCGGTCAAGTTATGTAGCTGGGATTCTTTTTAAAAAAAATTGACAAAAAAGAATGTGATCTGAGTGATAAAACATAATAGTACACATACGATAAACGAGAATTACATTCAACTTTGAACTATCGAGTAAGGAGTGAATGATCTTTGAAGACCAGAGTAAAGTAGGGGAGTACTATATAGAGTGCGTTCTATTATTGCAACAAAAAAGAAAAAAAAGTTTCATGAGAAAGAATATATGAATAAAATATTCAGTCTTGAAAAATCAGGTTGCATACTATTAGAAAAAAATAAACTAGATAAAAACAGTTATTGCTAGTGCTCATTTACTTTATATGTGTCATAGTGGATAGACATGGTGAGATGAAAAGTTTCCGTCTTTCTTGAGAAATTACAGAGAAATAGATTCGGTTTTATCTCATCTAAGAAATGACGAAACAGTCGGGTAGGGAATCAGTTGAGTTATGTACCTAGGATTCATCAAAAAAAATTGACAAATAAGAATGTGATATGAGTAATAAAACTAAATAGTGCACGTACGATAAACGAGGATTTACGGTCAGCTTTGAGCTATCGAGTAAGGAGTGAAGGGCCTTTGATGATCCGAGTAAAGTAGTGTAGTCCTATATAGAGTGGATAGAAAAAGTTATTGCTAGTGCTCATTTACTTTATATGCGTCATAGTGACTGACATGGTGAGCTGAAAAGTTTCCGTCTTTTTTGAGAAATTACAGAGAGCTAGATTACCTCATCTAAGAAATGACGAAGCTTTCGAGTAAGGAATCAGTAGATTTATGTACCTAAGATTCATTAAAAAAAATGTGATCTGAGTGATAACACTAAATAGTGCACGTACGATAAACGAGTATTCCGGTCAGCTTTGAGCTATCGAGTAAGGAGTGACGGACCTTTGGAGACCAAAGTATAGTAGGAGAGTACTATATATAGTGCGTTCTATTATTGCCACAAAAAATAAAAAAAGTTTCAAGAGAAATAATATATGAACAAATGATCATCCTTGAAAAATCAGGTTACATATTATTAGAAAAAAGAAAAATGGATAGAAAAAGTTATTGCAAGTGCTCATTTACTTTATATGTGTCATAGAGGACATACATGGTGAGCTGAAAGGTTTCCGCCTTTCTTGAAAAATTACAGATAACTAGATTCAGTTTTATCTCATCTAAAAAATGACGAATCTGTCGAGTAAGGAATCAGTCTAATTATATACCTGGGATTCATAAAAAAAAATTGACAAATAAGAATGTGATCTGAGTAATAAAACTAAATAGTGCACGTACGATAAATGAGGATTCCGTTCAGCTTTGAGCTATCGAGTAAGGAGTGAAGGGCCTTTGATGATCCGAGTAAAGTAGTGTAGTCCTATATAGAGTGGACAGAAAAAGTTATTGCTAGTGCTCATTTACTTTATATGCATCATAGTGGACTGACATGGTGAGCTGAAAAGTTTCTGTGTTTTTTTGAGAAATTACAGAGAGCTAGATTCGGTTTTACCTCATCTAAGAAATGACGAAGCTTTCGAGTAAGGAATTGGTCGAGCTATGTAACTAAGATTCATTAAAAAAAATGTGATTAGAGTGATAATACTAAATAGTGCACGTACGATAAACGAGTATTTCGGTCAGCTTTGAGCTATTGAGTAAGGAATGAAGGGCCTTTAGAGACCCGAGTAAAGTAGAGAGTACTATATAGAGTGATTTCTATTACTGCCACAAAAAATAAAAAAAATTGAAAGAGAAATAATATATGAATAAAATGTTCATCCTTGGAAATGAAAGTTGCATATTATTAGAAAAGAGAAAAGTGGATAGAAAAAATTATTGCTAGTGTTCACTTATTTCATATGCGTCATAGTGGACTGACATGGTCAGGGGCGGACCTACGTTGGTGTAAAGGGAGGCAGTTGCACCTGGTAAAATATTAAAGTTATTGATTTTATATAGAACATATTGATACTAAGTGGTCCAGTGGTTAAGAATGTACTTCTAAACCATGAGGTGCAGGGTTCAATTCTCCAACAATGCATTATTTTTGCATCGCCTCAAATTTTAGGCTGGGTCTGCTACTCGACCTGGTGACCTGAAAAGTTTCCGTTTTTCTTGAGAAATTACAGAGAGGTAGATTCTGTTTACCTCATTTAATAATTGACGAAACTAACGAGTAAGGAATCGGTCGAGTTATGTACCTGGATTCATTAAAAATTTTTACAAATAAGAATGTCATCTAAGTGTTAAAAAACTAAATAGTGCACGTACGATAAACGAGGATTCCGGTCAGCTTTGAGCTATCGAGTAAGGAGTGAAGGGCCTTTACAGACGCGAGTAAAGTAGTAGAGTCGAGTGCGTTCTATTATTACTATAAAAAGGAAATAAAGTTTCAAGAGAAAGAATATATGAATAAAATGTTCATCCTTGAAAAATCAGGTTGAAAGAAATATTTCATTATTTCGCAAACATACAAAGGAGATATATCAAATTATTAATATATTGTTTTTAAACAAGTGGAAAAGATATATTGCTTATAAATTGAAAATATTTGCTTCATCATTGTTATACCACTTACAATATGGGTGTCAAAACAAAAACAAATCCATTAGTATTCTGAAACCAGGGCTTTCCACCAAATCGAAAATGTAAGTACTCTGCGTTTGATTGCCAGTAAATCATATACATGTTGATACAAACATCGATCATCTGATATGGCAAACCTAGACCAGAAACAAGCTTTTCAATTTCATTATAAGAAACCGGTGAGATGTTGTCTTTAGGGAATATCTCTTTCACAAAATAGGCCCAAGCATCTACCTAATCTTTAGAAAAATTTTAATCCGCCTTTATATTCATCATCCTTGTTGCAGCGAATAAAAGAGAATGTCCTTCCCGACAATTTTGATATATGGTGTCTTCGATGCATCCAACATTTCATAAAATCTTTTTGCTTCTAAATATGATTACTCTACTTTATTTTCTTCTTCTGGAAAAGACTGCATATTTTTCCTATATGCATCGTGAACCATTTAAACCGTACCGCCTCTTCTGCGAATATTTTTCTTCTACCATATCTGGAACATTTCCACTAGTACCACCCCTGTGTTATGTATATCTTTCCCCATGATAATACCGAACGTTGTAACTCGGCAAAATTATGTCTCTATATAAGTGAGACCACACTAAAGCCTTATCAATAAATACATTATAATACATATTGGACAAGGACAAACCACATCATACCACTTTCTAAGCAAGACTCCTTATTTTCTTTGAGGGTCATGAATTTGGTGAGGCCGGCCGCATACTCCGTCGTTAACAATGAGTTAGAAGCAAATCTCTTCTTGTCAATCCATAGCCGAAAACGATGCATAATTTTTTAATCAAGAATATATATAGAATATTTTGGTTTTTTTTTTTAATTATTTTTGTGTGTTTTTTTAGAATAATTTATGGGGTTTTTTGAGAAATAATTATTTTTAAGCCTTTTATAGATGATATTTTGTTTGTTGTAGTAATTTTAGTTAATGTTTATGTAGGAATTCTTTTTTTAATTTCCTACATTTTTTCTATCTATTTTTTACCAAAATATATACTATTACACCTACCTAATTAAAACGTTATCTACCTACTTAAATATCCACCACCAACCAAACTAAAGCGTTTGCCATATGTTAATAAAATCCCTACGAATTTCCTACGATTAAATACGTAAAAAAAAAGTTTTACGCTAATCCTACGAAACTCGTACGAGAATTTGTTCGTTGTAATTGGTAGGAAATATTTCTTACCAATTCTTTTCCCATGACTTTCCTTCCAATTTCTTACGAGATTTTCTACGAGAGTATATTCGTTGGAAATTAAATTAGAGGGAAATATATCATGTCAATTTCCAACCAATACTTTCCCATGACTTTCCTTCCACTTTCCAACGAGATTTCGTAACAATCTCGTAAAAATTTGGTAGGAAATGACTGTTCACGAAATCTTTGTAGCAAATTTGGTAGGAAAAGCCTATGTTTTCTATAGTAATTTTTGAATTGATTTAATGAGATGTTGAGATGAGGTCTATTAAACTATGTTGAATCTTACAAGGAGAGAGAGAAAAAGAGATAGAGAAAAAAAAGAAGAAGTAACAAGTCACTAAGTCAATTTTCATTATTTTTTGTGTGCGTACCTTTTAATGTCAAATATTTTACATATAGGAGGTGGCTGGTTTTGTAGTAAAAATTTTCTATTTTTGTAACACTCACTAAAAATAGTATGAAAGTAAATAAAATAAAATTATCAAGAAAACTGGAATAAAAAGTTTATATATGAAAAACTACTTTGGTAAAAATCTTTTATTATTCCTACCAAAAATAAAATCTTTTATTATGTCTCACAAAAACCAAAAGATATATAAAAAGTTTACTAATTTCTTTTTAAAAAGGTCCGAAATATATATTGTTTATAAATAAAAAATTTCTTCAAAATATTTACACTACTTACAGTGGAGGTGTTGAGAGATATCAATTTTTAATTGAGCTAATGAGGTGTTGAGAATGAGGTCGATTAAGAAAAAAAAAGAAAGTGAAAAAAAATATTCCAAGATTTTCTATTTTTCCACCACAAAAAATAGTATAAAAGTAAAGAAAAAGAAAAAAATACAATGAAAAAAAACTTGAATAAAAGTTTTATCCGTGAAATATCAAGTGGAAAAAAATTTTCCATTACGTCCCACACATACTAAGGTGATATATAAAATTTTTAAATATTTGTCAAAAATTACTATTTTCATACTAGTCACCAAAAATAGTAAAATTAAAGATGAAAAACATCATTTCTATTAAAGAAAAAAAGAATCATCTACAATGTCCTTTGACCAGAAAAACATATCAAATATGTCTTTCCCAAAAATCTAATTTAATATTTATTTTTTAAAATATAAAATCCGGTTAAAGAATTTTACACCCTTTAAAAAACTTAAAACCTACTAACCCAACCACACTTATCCCCACCAAAACCCACTCAAATCGGATCTCTCCCCTTCTCACTACAAAAAAAACAGTCCATTTACTAGGAAAATTTGCGGAAGAAATAGTATCTCGTAAATTTGCGAAAGAAATTGTGAGACATCTGTTACAAATGCTATATCCTTAGCAAATTTCACGCAAATTTGTGAGAAAATGTCTCTTTGCAAACTCGCCGCAAATTTGCGAGGGGTTTACGAGATATTCGTAGGAAAATTAATATTTCTCGCACATCCATCGCAAATTTACGATGGATTTGCGATGACATAATCCATAGCAAAATTTGGAGGGATATGCGATGAATTGAGAGAGTCATCACAATTATATTACAAATTGAGAAAATAAAATTCAAAAAGTACTTATAAAATTTAATCGAATTTGTATTCAAGTAATATGATTTTTCATAAGGTTCATCAGAGTCTTTTCTATCATCGAACTCTATGAATTTATTCAATTTCACATATCCGTTGGATTCATTTATAATGTGGATAAATACGTATAATAACATCTTTTGTTAATGTCATTAAAATAGTTGTTGATTATAAAAGTGAATACAAGACGCTTTATAGTCGGAGATATCTTGTTTTAAAGAAGGACTAGAAGATGTTATACATATGCATCCACTTATTAGAGAAATAGTATACAATCTCAGATGATCTATGGAAAATGCAAAAATCGGAAAACTGCGAAGAGTCCAGAGGTGGAGAAGACTATGATGAGACTAATAAACATTTCAATATATTTAAAAATTAATTTATTTTACTGTTTTGTTATTTTTTTAAAAATGGATACCTTGCGATAGAATTGTGAGGACACTCGCAGATACCTCCCAAATCTTTCGCACACTCTCAATTAAAAAACATTTATGATGCCATGTGGGGAAATTTCGTAAACTTTGCGAGGGAATCAGAAGGCACCATAACAATTTCTTCACAAATGTGGGCACACTTATGAATCCCTAAACCCTATACCTAACCATTTGCGAAGAATTTGCTACAGTCCCTTGCCATTCTCTCACAAAACTTCTAAAAAACATTAAAACCAATATTAAGATTTACTTCCACAATATTTTTAATATTGCAAGGGAATTAATTTTTTAAACAAATTAAGAAAAAGTAACTTATAAATTTTTATATGTTTGGTTAGTTTAATAATATTAAATTTAAACCCCAAATCTTATACTCCATACTCTTAACGTAACTCAAAACCCTAAATCATAAACTCTAAACTTTAAACTTTAAAATTCATTATCATAAAAATTAGGGTAATTAAATTTCAGGTCAAATATTTTTACCCAGTTTTGGCAAAGTGAAATTGAGTTCTCAAGTGATAGCATCCCATCGGCTCAATGTTCAGTTCATACTTTTGTCATAGCTACAGTAAAACAGATATAAAAAAAATATAATAATAATTATTTTCCATTTTCACTATGAATTAAACTTAAAAAATTTCCTTTTATTTGTTTTGAATCATGTTGTTAGAGATATTTCTATATTAGAAATATCATGTACGTATATATATATGTACGAGAATAATTTTACTTATGTGTACGTACATATTTAAATAATTATGTACGTGTAAAACATTTTTTGAATTAATGATGCATATGTTTCTTTTAAATTTATGATGCATGTGTTTAATGGAGATTATGTATTTTTAATTGTTTGTGAGTGAAGATGCACATAATATAAAGTAAAAATTCGTAGCAGAGAAAAGACATTTAGGTAGGTATGTACGTATTAAAATATTAACACGTGTACGTGATAGAAAAAGCATTGATGATACTGGAGAGAATAGTGATATTCAACCATATTTGAGTTCTAACCGTGATGTAAGACATGAAGAAGTATGTGCAAGTGAATGTTTGACGTACACAAATACAAATGGGCATGGTAGAGGTGAAGTGAATGGTAATGGTGTGGAGTTTGGTTTAGAGGATCATGAAAGGAGGATTATGAATGAGTCTTCTGAAGTATATTGTGACTTTTCTAATTGCTAAGGGGTGAAGCAGAGATACTCGATAATGATGTTACTCCAGTCTCCAATGACTTAGCCAATGTCCGACTGATGAGACAGAGGTAGATATTAGTACACTAGGGAAGACATATTATGTTATGAAGGGTTTATGCGATTTAGGGTAATGAATTTAGGATTTTTAGAATGTAACTGGTTGGTGCGGTCAGTTTAAAAAATTACCTATTCTTTACCAACAATATAGTGCAATATAATTAGAGTTATAATATATGAAAATAATAGGTCCCTGCATATTATATTTGCATGCTATTTAATACAGTAGACAAAAACAAATATTCTATGTTTTAAGATTAGTTTTATTATATTTCATTTTTATGTTTATGTACATATTTGTATAATTCTTATACATATAAAAAAAAATTTATATCATTTATATTACAAATATACAACCAAAACATGCAAAACATATACGTTTGCAAATCAATCTTGTATCGAATATATTTTGTGTATGTCTATCAGTAAGTCATATACATCTACAACAATATTGAACTAACAACCATCGCTGGTCCTTGCGATTCGGAAGCATGAAGCAATTTTAAACTATATCATATATTTTTCCTATAATAATTTATATGAATTTATTGAAATTATTTGATGTATAAAAACAATTTTTCTTTATATTTTCAAAATAAATTAGTCAAAACTTGACTTTTTGTTGTAAATATTTAATTATTTAGCAAAGAGAAATATGAATTTATAACCAACAAAATTTTATAAATTAAGAAACTAACCTAAAAAAAACTTAGTTATATTTTGTGGGTAATCTATATTATTACAATTTTGTCCTCATCACCATCACCATTAACAACCACCACAACAACTATTATCGCCATCATCACCACGGCCACGGCTACCATCGCCGCTGCTGCCACGGCTACCACCATAACCATCCAAATCATCACCACCACTGCCGCCGTCATTACCACCACCGCCGCCGTCACTGCCGCCGCCACCACACCACCTTCCTTCACCACCATCACCTAAAATCACCAGCACCACCACCTTTTGTCACTCCCAGTAGCACCATGACCATAACCACACCACCATCACCATCTTTGGTCACTACCACCATCACCTTTGATCACCACCACCACCACATTTGGTCATTATATTTTTGCCTTGTGTTAGTTTGTTAATTTATACATATATAGTGTTATATAATCAAATAGTTTATCAAATGGGAAAAATGTCGGAAAATGCGCGAACTTTCAAATTTGGGACAAAAAAAAGTATGAACTTTCGATATGTCATTTAAATCATAAAGTTTAGTTTGAATTTTGATAAAATGATTAAGGTTTTGTTGACTTGGCCATATCGGGCATGTCGTTAAATTTCCGTTAACGAGACGTTGGCGGGGTTACCTTTCGAGATATATAATTCC